CATGCATGTGGAGGTCAGAGGTCGTTGGTGTGTGTGTGCACGTGTGCGTGCACGTGGAGGTCAGAGGATGACCCGCAGAAGTTAGTCTTCTCCTTCTACCACACGGGACCCAGGTATCAAACTCAGGCTGTCAGGCTTGGTTCCAAGTTCTCTTTCCTAGTAGTGAATTCAAGGAAATATCATGCACAAATAACTCTGTATATCCTGTGTTCCTCAATCACAGGGAAAGAAAGGAGGGAGGAAGAAAGACAAAAATAGAAAGCTAAGGAAACGTCCCTTTGCTCTGCTAGGGCCAGGACTTTGGCCAGTCATCCTCCCTGAGTTCCTGCCAGCAACCCCATCCCTGGGCAGAGCTCTTGGGTGGCTAGAAATGGAGGGAGGCATCGCTTCTCTAGTCCAAGTGTTGGAGGAACAGGGGACGACTTTCCAGCTTGTATTCTTCGTGAGTGCCAAGTTCACGTGAACCAAGAAAAGACTGATACCTCCAGGAGACAAGCCAACTAACAGCATCAGGAAGTTTTCAACTGGATCTTTGGGACATAAAGCACATTACTGGACAACTGGAGCTTTGTGAATGAGGGCTGTGGGTTAGACGGTTGTTAAGGTATGGCAGCCAACTTCCTGATAACGACAGCTTGATCTTAGCACGTAGGGGAATGTCTCAGTTGGTAGGATAACTAGGAGTGATAGAAATCAGGTTAGAGTTTACTCGCAAATAATTCACGAGGGCGAGGGATGTAGCTTAGCTGGAGGAGCTTCCTAGCATGTACCAAGCCCTGGGTTCTGTCCTCCACTACCCTAGTCTGATGGTACACCCACGTAATCCCAGCACTTAGTGGCGGAGGCAGGAAGATCAGAAATTCAAGGTCATCCTCAGCTTCACAGTCAGTTTGGGATCAGTCTGGAATAAGAGCCACCCTATGGAAGAAAAATCAAAAACAACAATAGCAACAAAAATAAAACAAACGAGAACCCCCAACATAAATAATGCATGACAAAAGCTCTGTGCTGTATTTGCTGGTGTCTCTGAGACTATGACAAAAACGTTTTAAGGCAAACCCTGAGAGAAAACTGCTACCTCGTCCCACTTTAAACAACAATAACAAAAACAAAGCCCAGATAGTAGCAAGTTCCTGTCCTACAGATGGTTTTGCTGTTAAAAACTAGAGAAGGGAGAAGTGGGAGCCACAATGGTTGAACGAGAAGCCCCTTGATGTGTCCCCTACAGATAATCTGGCTGCTCACTGGAAAGGCAGAAGATGCAGAGAAGTCTTGGTGGGAAGGATGGAGGAGCATGGAAATTCCCAGAAGACACTGGGGAAGCTAAGAAATTCCTGAAACTTCCCACCTGAGGCTTTACACCCAGAGCTCCAAGAACATGGCACATCCTCTCACATCCTCTCAATAACTGCCCAGACATTTACCAGACATCCAGGGCTCATGTTTTCATGTGCATTTCATTTTTCTCTAGTTACATGTATGGGTGTTTGAGTGCACATAGCGCCTGCGTACTTGTGTGTGTTTCGTGCCTGATGAGGTCAGAAGGCATTGAAAACCCTGGATCTGGGATTACAGATGCTCATGAACCAGTATGTGGGTGATGGGAACTGAACCTGAGACCTCTCTCAGGATGAGGCCATCTCTCCAGCTTGTGACTATGAGATGTTTACAAAAGAGCCTAAAAACTGGTTCATCTCCTGTGTCTTTCATGCAAATGTCAAGCAGACTGTAACTTATCTTCAAAGAAACAACCACTCCTCTTGCAAAGGAACAAAGACATATGGCCGAGTATGTTCAGCTCCTCAGTTCTAAGCAAATGCTGCCTCCAGGCCGCCCAGTCTCCGATTCTCTTTCAAATGCGCTTTGCTGCAAACCACAGGCTTCTTTCTCAGCGTGCAGCTGCTATGGCCTTTGGGATGTCACTGATTCCTTGGCAGCAAGCGAAGCTGTCCCTTCTCCTCTCCTGATGCCCTGGGTGAGGGACAACAGTGGATCTTCAAAGCTCCACTCATTGCGGTACCCTTACCATTATGTCCAAACACCACCCCAGTCTGCTTGTGGATCTCGCCCAGATTTATAAGGCTCTCAACTGGGGACGGTAATATCTGCTCTACAAAGAGTCTGGGAGTAATTACAAAATGCTACTTATACTAAATGGTTATATCTATATTACTTAAATAAAATATTTAGCTGTATGATATTTAACCCTGATACTGAGTAGGGTCAAGGATATAAGTATCCTACAGTGTATAGGACAGTCTGAGATGACAAAGATGCCAGTGATGTCCCCAGTAGCCTGCTCCTTCCAGAAGAGAAATATTGTCTCAAAGGATGGATTGTAGGATGAATGGACCCACTGCACAACATGTTGATTTGCCTTAAACACCCCATGGGACCTTTAGTACGAATCCCCCTTCCTGTTGGTACCCAGTCATATGGTGTGTTTTCCTTTCTCAGGCAATGAGCTAGGGATTTTTATTATTACTATCAGTCTTAGCAGGAATAAATGACTCTACTATTTAAATTAAGTGGAACTTTTATTTTAAAGGTTTTAAGGTTATGTTTATTGATTTATTTGTGTGTGTGTGTGTGTGTGTGTGTGTGTGTGTGAGAGAGAGAGAGAGAGAGAGAGAGAGAGAGAGAGAGAGAGAACATGTGTTTGTGTGCCAGAACAGAACTGAACTCACTGTTTCCGTGGATAACATCATGTGAAGTATATTAGATGCTACTGCCTGTAAATGAGGGACCCTGCTCTGTGGTGCCTCACCTCTCTGTTCTAGACCGTGAACCCTTTTCTTTTCTTTGTTCCTCTTACTAGTCACCTCCTGGAGGAGTGACCAGGATCACTGAAGGAACGAAACTGGGTGCTGTTCCCAGTGGAGCCCTACAAGCCCTGAGGAAGGTCTGCAGGACACTCACACTGCCTGCAGAATTACCTGGCTTCTATTGTGGCCCTGACTGCACCCACTGGGCTTCTCCTTAGGACCCCTGCATGTGGGGTTCCTTGGCAGGTGAGCTGGTCCATTTGTCAAATACTATGACAAATACTCAGATTACTTAAAGGAGAAAAGGTTTGTTTTGACTCAGAGTTCTAGTCTCCTGGCTTTGTTGCCATGGACAGAGTGTCATGGTAGCAAGTGAGTGGCGGAGGAGGCTGCTTACCTCACCACAGCCAGGACCCAGAGAGAGCAATAGGAAGGGGCTGTGGCCAAGACACACTAAAAGGCATCCCCAGCCACCCACCTACTACAGCAAGGCTCCACCTTCCACAGCTCTACTACCAGCAAATAGATGATTCAAAATTCACATTTTTCAACAGATGTAACAATTCACTGGGCCACAGATCTCGTGGTCTGATTGTCTCTGGAAATGCCCTACAGACATGCCCAGTGGTGTCTGTCATTGAAGGCGTGCTTTACTACTGTGGTTTGAATGAGAAATGTCCACATATTTAAACACTTGATTCCCAGTTGGTAGCACTGTTCTGGGAGATGATGGAACTTTTAGGGGGTGGAGCCTGGCTGGAGGACGGTGTGAGAATTATCATTTTTAAACCAGAGGTCGTTGTTAGTCTGTCAAGGGCAAATTTACTGAAGCCAAACTTTCTTCTTCCCCTGAGTATCTTTTAGCCAATCACAACAGATGGTGAAGTCAAGCTCCTGCCAATGGGATGAGAG